GTACAGGCAAAAATATAGTTTGAAGCCCATTTTTATTTAAAACAGTGTTCCTATTTTCTAAAAGTTGATTTATCCTCGGTCATGTAAGTATGTACATAGAAAAATTTCATTTCTTATCTAATTAGTAATTACAAACTAAATCAGACTCTTAAATTGGGATGGAGTTCTGCTTCTCTAAAATATAGTACTACCTAAATGAGGTTTCAGTGTTCGATCACAAAAGTTAAAAGAGAGAACTTTACATGCTTTAAAACATGTACATATGTATGCAATTACTGTAAGAACATATATACATTTAAGTGTGAGGTTGTTGTCGTTTGAGTTGATGTTTTACCTTTATCTTTCTCTTGTGTTTTGACTCTCTCATTCCCTTTTCTCACAACATATTCCCTTCTTTCTATTAGTTTTTCCTCCCACCCTTTTCACATTATTTAATTTGTTACTTTTTCCCAAGTATTAATTACTGCCAAAGAACTCATCAATCGCACAAATTTATGCATGAAAATGTAGGAGCTCCCTCACGATTTGGTTTACTTAATTAAAAACTCTTATCTGAGGAAGAATAATTCAAAAAATATCATATATATGATACAATATTTTTGTTTAATTTGGGCCAGGAGGGGAATATAATGAGAAATGAAAGTAGGAGATAAGAGTTGATGATTATAAAGTAGAGTGTTTGTCCTCAACATCATTCATAAATATGTAAGTGGATGGATCATTGAATAAGGGGCAACACAACCAATGTCTTACCAGAAGATAATAACAGCACTAACACATAAAATTCCGTTAGGAGGACACTCAGTCTTAGTCCTAATGATGCTCATTATTCCTCAAATTTCTTTCTTTAATCATTCTCATTTGGAGCCCTTAAATTGACGACGCAACCACTTCTATTCCTTCTTTTATTACTTACCGGCTTTTATTCATAAACAGTACTGGTTGTTGTAGTTGGTTAGTTGTTTTTTGTTGGACTTCTATGCATTTTAGTTTTTACTATTCACCCCATGCTAATTGGATTAATAGTAATTTTAACAACTACTTACAACTTGATGACGTCCGTAATTCGTAAATTAAAGTTTTCTCATATTACGTGTTATGGCGACACCAATATTCATACACAGAATGAGGAAACATTAGTTTCTTTTTATTTATTTATTTATACTCTGAGGTTTGCATCACACGCAACACAATATCGCGAAGCCACCCAACTTCTAGTTAACAACTACTTCCACTATTGGCGACTTATTTTCATTTTTCTTAACCTTCAGGACAAACAACAATATACCTGCTTTTAAATGTTTCTCGTACACTTTGGCATGACGGGTTTATACTATTGATTACAGGCTCACGTTAATCTAATAGCATTTTTTCATATATATATGTGTGTAAACCTAATTTTTGTTTTTGGAACCCCAGAAAAATTCGCAGTCTATATCCTCTGCCACAGTCTCTGCCCTTCGGGTGAGCACTATGTGCGCACTGGGTAAACTCTCACTGTGTAATAGCCTGCAAACCACACAGGGGATGTAAACCGCACTAGGCAAGCCCCGTACGATAGGCTCAGACCCAGAGGGCATTGAGGGGGGATCGAACCCGCGTCGCCCGTGTGGACAACACCCTCCAAACCAACTGGGAGAGTAGTGCGAATGTTACCTATTTCACCAAGTAGTGCTATAAACCTAATTATTATTGAAGTATTAACTTGAGATTGCCATAGAAATTCATAAATTTTAAACTGTAGGTCCGCTTCTGTTTGGACGCACCAACAATCTCTATACGCCATAATTTAAGATGATTTAATTTCTTCTCTTTATCAAAAGTTTTGCTTTTTTTTTTTTAATCCAGTCTTGGTTTATACACCTTTCTTTTCTTTTCTTTTCTTTTCTTTGCTGTGTGGCTTATCTTTCTTTTTTTTTTCCTATGGAGAAAGATAATTCTCATCAATAATTTGAATAACGTAACGGACTCAACAACTGCCCGTAACTCTAGTCCAAATTAGAGTTACATTAATATTACTGGCACAGGCTTGATCTTGTTATACAACTTAGTATAATGTCGCACAAGGGCTATACTAGAATTTATGAAAAAATCTTTAATTAGTCAAATTCTTTCAGAAGTCCCAATCCATAATTACACAAAAACCTGTTAGATCAAAATAACGCAAGGGGAACTAAAGAAGTGAATTTTTATGACTTTAAATTGACTAAGTAAAAAGATTGAGAACTCTTCATCAGTTCCCAACTCAAAATAGAAAACCACAAATACAATTGCGTTATGGTGCTAATTAAGACAATTGATTGGCATATCATCTGATACTCATTAGCAGGCAACGCTCGTTAGGTTATGGCATATAAATCATACAAACTGGTGCGTGGACACATCTTAATTGCTCCTAATTTTATAATTAAAGCAGCTTTAGAGAAAAGTCCTTTCTTTTTTGGCAATAATTAGTGAATCATTAATCAGTTGCAAATGATGATTTTACACCTCTGGGGGCCATGAAATGATAGAAGATGCTCTTTTGAAAATTAGAACGCTGTTATCTTTAGATCACTGGAATGCAACTCAAGAACACCAAGCTAGGAATGTACAGTTTAGGTACAGATTGAATTTCTGTACTCTAACATCAGCGGCTTAAATCCAATAATTACGGAATAAATCAAATCATTACGGAAATTGTGTAGATTGCTAATATTGCTACTAAATAACATAATACTAGTATCAAGGTAAATAGCTAATATTGGTACTAAATAGCATAATACTAATTTCCAACGGAAACTTCCTCCTTTGGATGTGATTAGTGAAGTAGGAGGAAATTCTACTATATGGTGGCCCATTTGTAATTTGAATTTCTCAACAAGAAGTTGGCGAAATATTGTGGGCTTGATATCTATGGGCTAAAGCAAAGTTGCCAAAATGGGCCCACGTAGATCCAATAAGAAAGGCCTCTGCATTTCACCGTTGCTATACTGGCTTTTCCATATTTGATGATGATCTACCTTTCACATGAGTCTCTGGTTTCCCTACTGAATGGTATGGTATAACAACCTATAAAGAGAATTGGTATAAAAAAGCCCTAGTTTTAGATGTTGGCATCCTATAGCCCAACATTAAGGGTTTCTTATATTTAATTGATATTTTATAGCCAAAATTATTTTTATGCAAAATTAAAAGAGACTGTACAACACTCTCCTCTCTCTCCCTCTTTAATGCTCTTGTTCTCTTTCTTCCACAAATTTCACTTCATATTTTTCAATCCCACAAATTTCTCTCTTCTTCTCCGATAATTACTCTGTTAGGTCTCCTTTTAATCTTTTTATGTGTATATCAAAATTTTATATTCCTTCTTTGTATAATATATTTTAGATTGAAAACTCCAGATTTAAGACGACTCCACATGCGTATCCCCCATTGTATCCCGTGTATATCTCCATGTACATCAGCGATATCTCATGTATATCATGTGTATCTGTGTATATCCATGAAAATCTGTGTTATATACATGATATACAATATGATATACACAGGAGTCCATAAAAATATTGTATTATACACACGATATATAAAGTGATATACACTGACGTCCATAAAAACCTGTGTGTGATATACACAGATATACAACGTGATATACACATGTCGCAGTTGGATTTTTAGGTCTGATTTTTTACATGAACCAGTCTAAATCACTTTTAATCTTGCTCAAATTTTGTATATAGCCTCGTCTAGGTGTTGTCAACCAATTTCAATCACACACACTCGTTCAATCCAACAAAAAAAAAGAAGAAAAACAAAGTTGAACTCTGTTTTTTTCCCCTATTTTTCTCTTTGTTTTTGTTTCTATTTCCTTTGATGTGAGATCAGTCTTACCTTTTCATCCCACTAATTTTTTTTCTTCATAATTTGCAATAATTTTCGCTAAACCATGAGAGAGAAAGAGGAGAGATAGAAGAAGAAATATAATGAGAGAAAGAGAGAGGGAAAAGAAAAAGATATGTAGGTTATTGGGGGGGGGGGATAAATAGGAAGTAGGTTTTTAAAATTTAGCTATACAATGCTAAAGTTTTTGGGCATGTACTGCCAAATTAAGGTGTCAATTCCCCTTTCATTTTATTCTTCTCTTCGGCCGACTTCTACTTTAATTCACTTTAGCGAATCATGAACTATATTTTAACCACGTTTAAAGAAACAAACTATGTGAATTCTCCAAAACATTCACACTTCATTCATAATAGCATGCTTAAATGAGCATATTCCAACAAATTTTGTAAGTATAGTTAGGGCAGCCTGATGCACACGGCATCCCGCATTCACGCATGATCCAAGGAAGAGCCACACTTCAAGCGGTATGATGTTGAAAGTCTATCCTAATACAAGTATTAATGACTGCTTTCTCGCCTTGAACACGTGACCTATAGGTCACACGGAGACAACTTTAACGTTGCTCCAAAGACAACTTTAGAAGAATTAATATAGTTAGAATACTATTTTGTCATTAATCCACTAAAAAAATCTTTTTCTTTTAATTTAAGATTTAGTACAGATAACGTTTTCTGACATTCACATAATTGAAGTTAGTGGCTTAATCTAGATATCCCCAGAAAAATATGGCATATATAGCTACATAATTTGCAGTGATTAAATAAAAAGTGCTTAGACAGTTTTTGGAATAGATGTTGCGCGCGGAAATGCGGGAAATTGCGACTGGTAGGAAAATGCGTTTCCTTTGGTGGGGAATACGTCATTGCCACTTTCACTTTAATAAATTAGAAAAAAGAGTTTGTCCCATTTTTTTTTTCCTTCGCTAAAGAGAAAAAGTGAAAGACAACTCTGCAGCAAATGGAGAATACTATAGCTTAGCTGCTTATATTTGACTGCGCATTTTCTCTGAATTCATGGAGATAATGCATTCTGGGCCCCCATTAATCTCTTAAACAAATAACACTTTCCATACACAAACACCTTCTTTATTTATTTTCTTTAAGTTAAACGCCATGCTATGCAAAGTAATATATATATTTATTTCATCTTCTTTATGTGCTTTTTTTCTTTTTCTTTTATAATTAGCTACTAGCTGATGCGCTGGGATCAAGAAAAGCTCAAAAAGAAGAGTTCCACCGACGATGCAAGACCATCAAATTAGGGTCCCCATATATATTCCACCCTCACCCCTTTAATTCCCTCCCTTTTTTCCCTAGCTAGAACTAAACATTCCACCTAGAAAATATGGGGAATTGCTTGTTTGGAGGATTTGGAGATGGAAATGAAGATATGGTGAAAGTGATAACATCCACAGGTGGCATTATGGAATTCTTAGCCCCGGTTACAGTAGAGTCAATCACTGAAGAATTCCAAGGACACGGCATTTTTAGAAGCCATGATTTGTTTTGGAAGCCACTACCAGCACAAGAAGTATTACTAGCAGGACAATCTTATTATCTTTTGCCGCTCAACAATGATCAATATAGTAGCAGCAATATTATTACTGAGAATATTGATAATGTTATGGCCAAGATAGAAATAGGACATGTAAGATCAAACAGCGTGCCACTTCCTCCTCAAATCCAAAATCTAGTGGTTGCTCCTTATAGAATGTCATTTGATAGCCAAGGATTATTAAAAAGGTCTTACACAGAAGCATTGTATCGCTATAGCAATAGCAATAGCCGCAGCAGTCACAGCCAGAGAAAGAAGAGGAGCAGTGGTGGTGGTTTTTGGAAAGTGAAATTGGTGATAAGTCCTAAACAATTATTGGAGATTTTGTCACAAGAGACTGCCACTCAAGAGTTGATTGAGAGTGTGAGAACTGTAGCCAAATGTGGCAAAAGTGGAACCTCTTCTTCCGCCAGCTCCGTCGGCTTTTCCGATAAATGGAGTCTCTCCAGTAGTAGAAACGCTTCCTCCTACAAAGATGCCTTATTTTCATTAGATTAGAGTACTGTATTTTTTGTTTTTTTTTTTTTTTTTTTTTTTTTTTTTTGGGTTTCCTTTTCCTTTTTTTGTATCAGTTTTACTGCATTCTGTTTGTGTCTCCTCAATATGCATATATATCTAGTCATATTTCATCACAGCATTCCTTGGTGACTCTCTATGAATTTAAGATAAAAATAGAAAAATGTAGACTGCAAATTTCATGTATGCAAAAGTACTAAATTTAGTATAGCTATGTAGATTATCTTAAGATTGTTCTGTTCTGACTTTAAACCTGCTAGAAGATACAAGGAAAAGATATATACTAAACAACAGGGATCTTTTGCTCTTGTCATCCCTGCATTTTGATTAACTAATGGAGTATTACTTATCATTCAATTTATTGTTCATCACATTTAACCTTAGTATTTTTTTTAAAGGTCGATAGCGTCAGCTTAGCAAGTTAGTCAATAAATCACTCAAAATTGAGCAATTTGCACCCCTTGGTGGTATTTTTCTGTTGCATTAGACAGGAAGGCTAAACTACTCGTTCTGAACAAAAATGAATGTTTGATGGAAACTCAAGGTCCATCAAACTGTATATCAATTCTACACACACAATAAGAGATAAGTATATGACATAGTAGAGTTTTACGTGGAAAACTCTCAGTTCATGGGATTAAAAATCACGACCTACACTCATAGGATTTCAATTTCACTACTGAGCAAACTTCATATTACAAACTATCGTAACCTAGAAATTAAACTCTTAATCCCTCATTCACTTGTAATAACTCTATTACAACCCTCTTTGTAATAACTCTATTACAAAGCTCACAACTTAACTAACTCTAACTCAGACACAAACACAAGGTTTATGGTTTTACAAGTGGTTTCATACACAATGCTTCTAGCTAAGCTAAGTAGAAATTACAAGTAGATCATTCTAACAAAATTACAACACAACTAAGGACATATGGTAACTCAATGCTGGAAACTGGTCCTTTTTCTATAATTATGTTGTTCTCTGTTCTTGAAGCCTTGAAGTCACTTGCAAGATGACAACACACTTGAAAGAAGACTTGTTGATTTTTCGGATGTGCAAGTGTGTGTTTTTTCTTTGCTTCATGTCGATAATATACAAGTGATGTCACTTAGATGATGCAAGCAATTATCCAGTACAAGGCATTTCCCATAAAGTAACTGCTGTACTGTTTGCACAGTTGCGTGTGTGCAGAGGAACAATGCCCGACTTGAGTATGTATAAGAGGTTCCCGTTCTGGTTCTTATCATAAAGTTTGTTAGATCATCAAAATATAAAAAGACACATAACTTATCAATTTTTCCCTCTTTGATGATGACAAACTTATAACTGAAGTTCCCCGTGAGAACAAGATCACAATACAATATTTCGTGTATTTCCCCTGAGAAAACCTGTTAACCTATTTCCCCTTCCCCCTCTCAATGTTTTTTCCCTTTTTGGCATCATAAAAAGATTAAACACAAGTAATAAGCAAAAAAGAAGTCTGGCATGGTTAACTCATGTGTGCACACAAGCATGGCTAAAAACAGAGCATAAGAGTATAACATGCATAGCAAAAAGACGAGATGCTCATTAATTTGAAGGAAAGGAGAACAAAAATAGTAGTACCATTGTTACATAACCATTCACAAAAAAAAAAATAACTTAAAAGTACCAGCCACAAAAACAACAAAAAGAGGACCAAGGTAGGACATACAACATTTAACTTGACACTGGGAAGTAGACTATTTTAAGGAGCACTAGAAGGAGGGGGCATGGATGAGGAGGCAAGGATTTTGAGGAGAATATCCATTCGTGCATTTGCAAACACTTGTTCGTTAAGCAGTCGGTCTTTCAGGTCCTCGACCTGTTTCCTGAGGTCTGCATTTTCCTTGGTCAGGCGAGCAGCCTTTCTTCCTTGTACACTACTGGAACCAGGTGCCTCATGGGCCTGACTGAGCTGCCCTACAAGAATGATATTCCATGCCTTCAACCTCCTTATTTCCTCATTTGCGACATTCTGAGCATCAATCAATTGAGAGATAATTGAATTGTTGCCAACCCTTCCTTTCTTATCAATGCACTCACATTCCTCCAAAGTGGTTTTTGAGAAGGTTTGCTTGTGAGTTCCCACTATTTCTTTACCTAAGGGGACTTTGAAGAATTGAAATACCTTAGTGAGCAAGAACCCATACGGTAGACCATAATTGCCATCCTTGAAATCTCTCACTTTTTTCATATGTTCTATCATGAGACCAAACAGATTGATAGTGTATAGGCATCCAGTGCTTCCATGAGGAATAGGTTTGCTTTTGAAGTAATGGAACGTCTCTCCTCACGTGGAAGAAAGACCTTATTCAAAATTTAGAGTATGTTCCCAATTCCGCTAAAAATGGTATTTTCGTCCGGGGTTTATTTGGGGATAGATTAAATACATGGGAAAATACTATTTCTTGACTTTTGACATACCTTAGACCTAAGGAAGCTAAGGAGAAGAGGGAGAAGCAAGAGCACAAGGATTCCATCCATCCTTCCTCACTCAAGATCCGGGTTTGGATTGTATTTATGTTTTCCTATACTTTTATTTCATTTGTGAAGAACTTCTCCATGTCTATGGAGTAGATCCTTTTAGGTTTTTATGAATTTGGTGTATTGATGATTGTTTGTGGACCATAACTCTATTTTTATGTATTTGAATCATTTTTGAAAGATTTAATTGTTGCATCTATATTCGCTTGTTCTTGTAATCGAAAGAGGCATAACTTGTGATATCTTTGCATTATATTGTTGGTTGAGTTCATAGATTATTCTAAGTAATCGAAAGAGGCTAGTTAAATCATTGATTAAACCTATTTAGGAGGATAATCGAAAGAGGTTCTCCTAAAGACCAATTCATTACGAATTCTTGCATATCTTCATCGAGCTTAAATTGGTTCATATTGTGAGATTGAAACTTAAATGAGAGAGGAGTTTCTACTAAACATTTGTATTGATAATTAAGTGAATTCGAGAGACTCACTTGAACATTAGAAGTAACTTATCTAGAGTTAAATCCCAAACAATTATCTTGCACTTATTCCGACAAACCCTATTTTCTCCTATTGATAACTTCCTTACTTACCTTTGTTGCGATTGTCATTAGTCAATAGTTTAGATTCTTAGTTAATTTCAATTCTTAATTGTATAAATCTCAATTTTTGATCCTCTTGGATAGCAATTAAGCTATTAACTACGAGCTGAGAAAATTTCCAACCTTGTCAAGCTGAGCAAAGTGCGGACCACACATGAAATTGTGCGGCCGCAGAATCTCCGAAAGGGCATTTTTGTCCATAAATTCCAGCTCTGTATAAATAGAAGAGTTTTAATTTTTAGGTCAACTTTTGACATCAGCAAATTCAATAGCCGTTTGTCTTTGCTTCTTTTAGTAGTTTTGCATATTTTGAGTTATTTAAACATAGAGTTTATCAATTTAATTTAGCAACATGAGTTTAATTAGTATTTCTTCTTCTATTTCTTTCATTTTGAGCATGAGTAGCTAGATTTTCACTAGGGTTGTGACCCAACCCTAGTGTGTAAACTTAATGGGTGTTTGATTTATTTCTTGTTTATGGTTGGGTGTTTTATCTAGCCTTGTTCTTCCTTTTAATTGTGGAATTAATAGTTGCAAATATTAGTTCATGCTTATTTGACTTGGTCTCTACTTGAGAAAGAGAGACTTAGTCTAGGAAAACTTGGCTAGCAAGAAATTGGGTCTATCGAGAGATTGATAAGCCCAATTAAAAGGTTGAACCTAGAGATAGTAAAGCCCGACTTGAGCTTTTTATCAATTATTTTGATCAAATACCCATTTGGACTTGAGAAAGCCAAATTGGGAAAAACCACTCTCTGACCGAGAGGTATTGAGTAGGTACTTGAGTGTTTATAGCTATAATACACCCTGACCAACAAAATAATCTTTAAAGATTACAACTCATTAGGCAAACACCTAGGTGAAGGTCATAGCCCTAGGCTTTTTATATCATTTGAAAACAACAAAAACAATTTTCTAGTTTCATTCTTTAAATCGCAATTGTAGTTTAACTTAGATTTTCAAACAAAATCCAATATTGCGGAAGAACAAATTTAGATATACAAATTCACGCACTAGGATATATACCACTAACACCCATTCATATATCTCCCTGTGGAATTCGACCCCGACTCTCGTTGGGTATAACTATTACATCGACCGTTTTCATATCCTCAAATAGAGGAGTGAAATTGGACGAGATCAATTTTTGGCGTCGTTGCCGGGGAACTAAAAAAACGATGTTAGCTATATATTTAGGTGTGTTTTTGGATACCTTATTTTCCTTCCTTGTTACTAACGTGTGAGTATTGTAGGTGTAATCATGGCAAACAAAAGGCTCGAAAACATAGCCGTGGAGGATGTGGACGTTGATGAAGATCAAATGGATGAGGTCCCTTTTGAACCTCAAGCAAATAGGCGAGGCCGCCCGCCTCAAGACAATGTACCCATTCCACCCCCTCCTCCACCATGAGTGGATCCACACCAGGTGTTGCCGAATGAAGGGTATGCAAGTGCTATATTCCCACCCCGTATTAGGGCGGACAACTTTCAAATAACCAACGTAATGCTCACTTTGCTCGAGCAATAAGATTTCTTCACTGGTGCACCTGGTCAAAATGCATATAAACACTTGAAAGGGTTCGTTGATACGTGTTGGGGGAGCAAACAAATAAATGTCTCCGAAGCTGCTATGAGGCTGAGGCTTTTTCCCTTCTCTCTACGGGGAAAAGCTTTAGATTGGTTGGAACGTTTGCCAAATCATTCCATTCATACGTGGGATGAACTAGTGGAGAAATTTATTTCAAAGTACTTCTCTCCCAGGCACATGACTATTCTTCGGGATAAAATTCTAGCATTCAAGCAAGAGCCCAATGAACCACTACATGAGATATGAGAAAGATATAGAACAATGGTGAAAGAGTGCCCCAACAATGATATGATGGAGAACATGATTCAACAAACTTTCTATCGGGGGATCAATACCACCAACCAATGTGTAGTAAATCAATTTGTCAGTGGGCACTTCATGACTATGCCTTATGCGGAGGCGTGTGATATTTTGGA